GCTTTGCGCGAAATTCAAAACAAACAAACCACCGAACGTGATTAAATATAGAGCATTAGTCTGAATTTATCTATACAATGAACACTAGAGACACGGGGCACGATTAACACTATCTTTATTACGATTAGATCTTTAATGCTCTGTTAGATACACCATTTCACACACATAACGTCGTACTTAAGTTACAGTATATGCTTAAATTATGAACCGTGTAAAAGCTCAAACCTTCTTAGACAAACAATATTAGATATGCATTCATAGTATGAACGTAACAATATAAATTATATATACACACAACATGTCCTACAACAATGTATATATGTATATAATGAAGAAGACAAATTTTATTGAAAGTTGTTAAAAGGTGACATTATAAAAGACGTAAATTAATGAACTACGGTTTTTATAAACAAATATATTATAAATTAACGTACTTACAGAACACCTTAGACGAATGAACCAAGCACTAATTCTCAACAAGTTGTGATAAACGTATCTAAGTGATTGGTATAAAAATTTTATATAAGAATATCCAATGAACAAATCCAAAACCAGAAGTACTGACGTCACCGTTCTGACTAAACAGTCCCTTCAATACGGTATAATGAACACTAGAGACATGGGGCATGACTAACGCTGTCCTTATTACGATTAGATCTTTAATCATTTCACACATATAACGACATGCTTAAGTATATACCTAAATTATGAACCGAGTAAAAGCTCAAACCTTCTCAGACAAACAATATTAGATATATATTCATAGCATGAACGTAACGTATAAGTTAGTTATAATTTATGTACATACAACACGCAAATTGTCATCTAATTCAGATAGTTATGTATTATATCAAACAATGCTAAAACTATGCTGTGTTTCACTATTATACATACGACACAAAAATACAATGCTTACAATATATAAGTGCCAGACTTTCTTAAGTGTCCATTTTTCAGCTGGAAAATATTGAAAAAATATAACTACTGAAAAACCTTGTGACAAAAATCTAACACTCGGGCTACATTCTGTCATATTTTTCCACCTTGATGAAGATGACTACAGTTTTTCACATGTGTTTTCCTTTACCAGATTATATTGTACCTAGAATATAAAGGCAAAAAGCTAACAAATTGTGAGAAGGTTTTCCATTCTGCTCCTTTTTTCTGTGATAATATTTCAGCTGCCATCTTTGTTCATCATCCATTCTAAAAATACAAATATGAAACCCATCACAGAAATGCATACCACCTCTGTATATTAGCAAAGACAGGTGTAGAAATTAATGTGATCTCCTTTCTACAGTAAATCCAGCTATAGCAGGCTAATAATAATAGTTATTTTGTATTAGACTACTTCCACAGATCATAAACGTAAGTTTTTATTATAATGTGGCATTATACTAAGAGGTACAAAGCATATATAAGGAGTTGAATTAAAATGGTGATCTTCTTTACCCATTCTATGAACTCCTTTACATGTGTTACGACAGCGGAAGTCACGTGACGCTAGTAACACGTGATGAGTATCCAGAAGATTCACGAAGAGACGAGATGTACGCTATTATAGTATATAAGCTGGCAAATAAAGTAACAGCAAGAATATAGTTGCAGATAGAGAGATTGAAGATATAGACACGGATAATCGAGTCAAGCGGGCACCGTAAGTAAAGTGCGTGAATCGTTGTGAATTATAGCGTGTGTTTTAGTTAAAGTGACTGTGGAAAGTAAGTGTATTGCAAAGTTGAATTGAGAAAGAATAAACTAGTTTTATTTAAGAAAGGACTTGTATCGCAGAAGTTTCTTCGGAAAGAATTTCTACGGAAAATTAACAAACGAACACAGACGAAACACATGCATCTCACCATGTCCCCAATTATTTATTTATACAAATAGTCCCCTAATTATCGCTCACAGATTTAGCTATGTAATTTGTCATCTTTTAAACCTAAAAGTACCACCACTCCCACTATTTGAATATTAGTTACATAGTTAAAGAGATACACACCTGTTATGTAATCAAACTTTTAATGACTTTTCTTGCAGGAAAATGAGTTGATTTGTGACTTATACAGTTCAAATCCACCCTACCCTAATCATCTGCACATGGTGGAAACTAAATATGGCGGGAAAAGTATTATGCACTCTATATATTCCCCTCTGAAGTAAAGGAAAACACGTAAAGGAGTTCACGCAATTTCATGTTCAGTGTTTTTATTGAAGAATGCAATTTATTCTTACCATCTGAGTTATTGATAACAACAAATGTCTTGGCTGTTGGGTATAACAACATAACAAAATTAAATAATTTGAGTATCTACACTAGATATATGCGTAAAAGAGATCACGTGCTTAAAGAAACGGATCTTTTCTGTTTCATGCACCACATTCAAATCGAAAAGAATATATATTTTGAATGTAGTTTTTAATGTTGATTTCAGAAATATAATTTAAAATTTGGAGAAATGAAAATAAATATTTTTTTTTTATTTCGCTAAGTTAGGTCAGTACATGTGAGGTTAGATCGAGTGAGATTAATTAGTAAGTAATTACACGTTTATTTAAAAAAAAGATGAATGTCATTTAAAAAATTCTTAAAAAAATGAAAATACTTTTCCCATTTCTTCCACTTTAAAAATCAATTCTCCAAATTTTAATTTATGTTTCTGAAATCTGCAGCAAATTGAATGTACTTGGAATGTGGTTAAGAGATGTAACAAGTTAATTTGACGTTGTATGCATGAAAATGATGATCTCTTCAAGCATATATTCAAGAATATATATCTGTTTGTTTCTAATTAAGCACAAAGCTACACAATTGACTGTCTGTGCCACGGGTATCGAAACCCGGATTCTAGCGTTGTAAGTCCGCAGACATACCGCTGTGCCACTGGAGGGGGGCGAATATTTCTGAATTTTCACATTGAATTTGTTACATTGTCATTAGACACTTTGTATTATCTTGATGTTCTGCAATAGGCATATATGTAATGCTAAAAGTACTTCCTAAAGTTCCTTTTTTTTCGTAAGCAAAATATAAAAAAAAATTCATTTCTCCAAATTTTAATTTATATTTCTGAAATTAGCATTAAAAATTACATTAAAAAAATATATTTTTTTTTTGAACGCGGTGCATGGAACAGGAAAGATCCAAAAACTAATTATATTACAATCTCCAAATGTACATATCCAAAATATCTCTTGATACCCTGTGTTTGGAGTATGATCAAATTAAATTATATACTTCCCGGATTCATTTTAGACTCTAATCTTTATATTGTTACGTATCTGCTTTTTTGTTAATTTTCGGTGGAAATTCTTTCCGAGGAACTTCAGCGATACAAGTCCTTTCTTGATTAATCCAGTTTATTCTTCCTCGATACAACTTTTAGTACACAGTAATTCCACAATCAGTACGTTTCTCGTCACTTTAAACTTAACAACGTCTATGATACCCGCTATAAATCACAGCGATTCATGATCTCGATAACTTCGCTTTCTACTAGTGCAAAACACACACTAGCTCGAAACAGAATCGTAAATTACCCGGAACTCTCTTCATTCATTCCCGCAGGCTTTCTTTGCCAGGCTTATATACCAACGAAGGGGGTGTCTCGAATACACTCGGGCCTCCCCGATCATTCATGATCATTTGAGAAATTCATCAAGTGTCACCAGGGTCACGTGACTTCCGCTGTCGTAACAATATTTACTCAAAAGTTTGTAATTATTATCTTGAAAAGTAAAGTAGAACATGTGATTATGGCGACATGTTATTTTGGAAATGGGACAATCAGCTAATAAGAAATGTTCATAACATAAAAGTTTACTAATTAATCACAATAAAGGCTTGAGACATACTTACAATTTGTGTTTGTTTATTTGCTTTGAAATTAAATTGTTTTGCTGGCGACATGCTACTTTAAACACTCCACCGTTGTTTATTTCCTAAGTTTGCTGGAAAAAATTAAACTGAACATGTTATATATATGTTTGGAAAGCTCTGTTCATCGTCTATTATTTAGAAATTATTAATATTATATGATTGTCTAACGTACGTACTCAGAGAAATTTGCCCCAGAACACTGGCGACATCAAATTGAACACTTAAGAAAGTCTGGCCCATAATATTGTGCATGATAATATTAATACAACATAATAAAACGGTTTAGCTCCTCAACAACAACACTATAATTCTCCATGAATCAAGTGAAACGCCATATGATAAACGCCAATCTCCAACAATAATGTATAGGTATATAATGATGAAGACAAATTTTAATGAAAGTTGCTAAAATATGACATTATAAAAGACGTAAATTAATGAACTACGGTTTTTATAAATAAATAGTTTATAAAATTAACGTACTTACAGAACACCTTAAACGAATGAACCAAGCACTAGTTCTTAACAAATTGTGATAAACGTATCTAAGTGATTGTTATTAGAATTTTATATATGAGTATCCAATGGACAAATCCAAAACCATAAGTACTGACGTCACCGTTCTGACTAACAGTCCCTTCAATACTGTAGACCACGCGTCAAGGTCAACACGTGCCAAACACACCGAGTGATAAAGTTTGTGGTTGGTACAGAAGCTTAGGGCTGGTATAGCGGTTCATGGAATGGCTCAGAGTTTTTTGTTGTTTTTTTCAATTACAAACTACAAACTTTTATCTCATAGCTCTGTCTTCTCTTGCCCGATTTGAGATCTAATTACAGTTTTGGACTTAGAAGGTCAAACCCTTTCGATTTATTTATTTGACCACGCCCGATGTCTCATAGATTAATTTACTCTAATCCTGCCTAAAAGAGTTTCAATTTTAGGAGAGGTTGTAGAGATCCTGATGAGTAATAAAATCGAATCAGGTTTAGGTGTCCCCACCCTTGGTATTTCGGGCGCACAAAAATATAGCTAATAAAAAGGAAAAAAATGTTTCATAGATTAATTTACTCTAATTCTGCCTAACAGAATTTCAAGTGCTGCGGCTATTGAGAGTTTCCTTTTGTTATGTAATTTTTTTTCTGTTATATTGTACTGTATACAAGAAATGGAACTACCGTTTATTGTACTGTAGAAAAGAGCTAGATATGCAAAGAAAGTGAATATTGTTACGTCTCCGTTTGTTAATTAATTTTCCGTAACTTCGTTCCGACGAAACTTTAGCGACACAAGTCCTTACTTAATAAAACTGGTTTATTCTTTCCGAATATAACTTTACGATACACTTAATTTCAACAATCACATTAAAACAAACGCTATAACAACGAACGTGCTCAATAATACTCTCTGACTGCAGATCAATTACTCACTGTGTACACACACACATTATTGTCCCGTCACGTTGTCACCCTCTTTTAT